GTCCTGATCCCTGGTCCATTGTAGAGCTCGACAAGGGGTGACGCCCTTGAGGTAATCCAGGGGGTTGATCAAGTGCAGGTTCTCCCAGGTGTTGACCACTGGAAACCGTCTTGTATGTGGTCGTGTCCGTCTGCTCCCGGGAAGTGCCCAGACGACGCAGCTCCCTTTGAAAGGTCTCCTCGGCCTCCCGAAGGATCTTCGCCCTCAGTGCTTCCACATCTTCCTGACCTGGAGAGATCGGTCCTGAGTCCTGCCCAAGGCCACATGCCCCAGACACATTCGCAGTAGGGTTGCCTGCAGCAAACTTCCCATCACCTTGGGCTTCCGGAAGAGGGCCGTCACCTCCAGCTTGAACCCCCCCAGTCATGCTCCTTCTAGCCGCCTCCTGAACCCCCGGGCTCCAAAATGGATTGATGTTGGGTGACCGAACCGGCGTTTGCCCCATCCCCTGCCCATAGTCCAAGGCTCTCGGGTTCATCAAACCACCTCCATCTCCAAACAACCCTCCTCGAGCTGCTGGATCAATGCCAGGTCCAAGAGGTGCAAGAAGACCCTGACCTTGAGGTTGTCCCGCTAGTGCTTGTTGAAGTACATGATAAGTTCGTTGAACCGCATCATGAAGTGCCCCCAAGCCCACAGCCGACCCCGCCGATGCAGGAGGAGTTGCCGCAAGCTCCCCAGGCTTCACCGATTTCAACGACGATGAAACAACACCCACACCAGCCTCCAGCTCTCGGAGACCTTCCTCCAAAGTCCCCATCACAGGTGGCCTAAAGGATGTAGGAGGTCCCCTCGGTGTGCTGCCCACCTCCGTCGACCGTCTCGGTCCCGCGTCCGCGGATCTAGTCCGCCTGACTTCCTCCTCAATCAAGGCGTCGAGCCTGCGGTCAGCCTCACCGATCACCAGTGAGGCATCCGCTCTCCTTTGCCTTCCAGCTGCTCCAGCGCCAGCCGCATCACCAGCTGCTCCAGCGCCAGCCGCCTCGCCAGCTGCTCCAGCGCCAGCTGCAGCACCAGCTGCTCCTTCCGCAGCTCGCCTTCGGCGCATCGTTGTGGATGCCATGGCGTAGCTCAACAGGTTGGGCTCATAACCTGAGCTTACACGGGCAGCAAAAGCAAAAAACGCAGCCGCCCTTGTTTTCTTGAGCCAAAGTTCGAGGTTGGTTATGCTCAGTGCTCATGACTGAAATGTCAACTGCATGAAAAAGGTAGAGTGGTGCTTAGGATTTCTCATATTCCTCTCAACAGTGGTATAGGACAATGTCGTACCCCTCGTTCTGCCACCAGTGGGCTCCGGAGACACCAGGATGCGGAGGAGCGGGCCGATCAATTGGAGACACGCATGGCCGAGTATTTGCACAGACAGTGTTTCAGCTGAAAGCCTGCGGCTTCTGCTGTCCGGGCTTCTCCGGTCGGAGCTCCCGGCGGTGTTCTGGGGCCGTCTGGGGCGCTTGAGAACTGGTATGAACCGGTGGAAGGATGAAGTGGATTGAAAGTAGATGGCATAGACCCCAAGAGGTGGTTTATATGGACCCCCATCTAAAGGACATCTTGGGGTCTGTGCCACCTACTCTGAAACCATTGTAACTTGTTTAACTGTTTCACTTGAAGTGGTCTAGCATCAGCTGGCTGGTCCATCGTGGAGGCATGGATGTGGACAAATCATGGGACATCCGCGGTCTCCAGATACCACGGTATCGCAGCCTTTGGAGCGGAGGGGGAGTCAGGTTTTGTCAGCTGGGGGAATCGGAAATCACCCTGGCCCGAGTGACCAGTGAGATGAGGGAGTTCCAAATTCATCACTGTTTGGGGTGGAAGGTCGAGGGTGGATGGTACTTGAAAATCACAACCAACCTATATATATACTTACTAACTACTCGGTGTTATTGAATGCCTTGTTTTTGCTTTGTCTCTCACATGTTCTCCAAAATGTGGAGAGTGGAACTTCTAGTTGCTGGAATTCCCTTTGAGACCAACTGAAATCGGCAGGTGTCAGGTGTCCTGGAAGGTGGTTGTGCAGGAGGCTCCTTTATTGATCATAAATAATTTTCATCATATAGTGGTTTGTGGAGCTTCTTGAAATTAACGTCCAAGAGGCTGCCAGCCTCCCGCTCTCACACAGATTTTGCACATGATGGCTATAGCAAACACGAAGATGCAGCCCTGGTACCGATTCCACAGGGTTGGATCAAGGGATGTCGTGCGATCACTAAAAAGAAAACCGGCACGGATGCGATGAACTTCACTCTCCATCCTCCGGCCGTCACCAACCTCTCAGGACTAGCGGCGCAAACGCGGTCTTGGAGGCGCATTTGGCGCATGTCGTGAAAGGCGGTCAGCAGTTGCAGGCGAAAGTCGAGGAGACACGAGGGTCGTTTTTGGATGATTTTTGATCGAATTTGTATCCAGGACCTCCCTATGGAGGTCCCAACATGTTCCAACTGCATGAATTTGCGAAGGCGTTAGCACCCAGATCACCCATGGAACAAGAGAATTGGAGGATGCATAAGAAGTCTTGCAGTGTACTTTGACCCCGTCCGATGCCATGCAATTAACCAACTAGCTGATCAAAAGTGAATCACAAGCAATGATGAGCTTGCACCATTTAGGGCTGGGCAGTTTCCTGGATAAGTGACTCCAATAGAGTTCCGGAATAGTCGTGATTCCAAGTGACAGGAACAAGAAGAGATCATTGAGGTTCTCCGGCGCTTATTGCAGAATCACAAGGCACAGCTTGCAACGGCTGAATGGTGGTTTTGAGTCGTCGCCACAAGGGGCTGCGGTGCCAAAGTAGTGCCGACTTTCCCCACGAAGGGCTTACAGTCTAGGATTGCGACAGGGTGAGAGAAAGAGAGAACAGATACAGGTGCTTGATGTTTGGTGCGTATGGTTTGGCAATTTCGTGGTTAGAGAACAGGGTTGAGGTTTCCTACTTAAACTTGTTCATCACGAATGCTCAAAAGTTTAGCAAGGGCCAGTTTGATGGACGCTCGTCCCCACTTTAAGCACTGAGCATGCTGTAAAGTACTATGACCTCGCAGTGTAGCGGAGACACCAGCGCAATCAACCATCAGTTATTTTTATATAACTCTATGGATCAAAGCGTTTTGAACATCACATGATCATATTGGTTATTACATGGTCTCCATCTTCAGCCTGAGGACTTCATCCGCGAGCAGCTGGGCTCCGAGCTCCGCCTCCCAGAGGGCGCCGGCCAGGGCGACGTGGAGGTGGTGACGCGGATGTGAGGCGGTGAGACGCTGGATCCAACACACGCAGGCGGAGCGGTGGATAGATCCGGAGGAATATATACTGGATGGATCGATGGGTCATGACGGTCATGATGGGTCCAAGGGAGTTGAGCCTAATTTTGAACAAAGGGTGGGTCCTGGTGGGTCCTGAGGAGAGAGGAAACAGTGATGGCATGTGATGGCCTGATTAGGTTTGTTTCATTTCCACTTCTAATCCGTGGTTATTTGAGCCATATTCATATTATTCTTCAGTGGGTGAAGGAGGAGCTTGGGCCTTGGGACCAGCGAGCGAAGCAGGCAAAGCAGGCTGATGGAGCTTCGGGCGGCCCGAGCTGACTAGCTGACTGGCCAAAAGAGGCGGGGGAGTTCCTACTAGTAGCTTCTTGTTCCTAGTAGCGATGGCCTCCACCTACTAGCTTCTGTTACTAGCAGTAAGGCCCTGCCGCTTGTTGTGCTGGGTTCTTATTTTGGAAAAGCTGGCTTTGGATTGAGGGAGTCGGAGACATCAAACGAACTATTGGATGGAACAGTCTCATTTCTTGGACCTTCTCATCCGGGTGGATGAGCAAGCAGCATGACTCTTAATTCGTTCGCATTCCAAACACATTGGAACAGACACGCGGGTCCGTATTCCAATAGAGAGACCCCTGGCTGGGTAGACTGGTCTATGTCTATTGTCCCTTAGGGGTTGGAGCTGGGAGGTGTTCCTATTAAACATGCACGCGGCCCGTCCTGTTTGGCCTGTCAGGACGGCTTCTTCGGTCTATTTCGCCGGGACGATGCCCGGCAGGGCGATGCGGTGCGGAGGGAAGGGGTTGGGTGATGCCAATCAAAACCTGTACCTCCAAAACCCTGGTCAGATGTCATTTCGCGTTACCATTCATTCTCAAACTGTATTCATCTAAGTCTATTTGTATCCTCCTTGGAATTTCCTCTACAAAATCATGGGGGTCTGGGTGCGTCAAGCGCCTAAGTTTTGTACAGCGAACATCCCCTTTGTTTAGGGTATGCAGGCCAAGGATGCAATTTTGTAAAGAATTGATCTGAGTTTGGAGGGGTAGGTGAGGTAATTGATTCTGTAGAATCAGAGATGGTTTAGATAAGCCACTTTTCAATCTGGCTTTTGCAAGTAGGGGGTGATGATTATGAAGAGATTTTACCTGAGGGTATTGATTTTGAAAAGACATCGTTTGAGCATTGCTGCACAGACATGCTCAAGCTATCTCAAGCTTATGGAATCAATATCTCAAGCTTAGGAAGAAACATGAAGAAACAATAAGAAACACATATTATCATATATTACATTGCGATGCGGGTATGTTGGGAAAATGATTCTGTACAAAGCATGTTGTTTTGCATGTCAAGGATGCAATTTTGTAAACCTGTTTCTTCTCAGAAATGTGTTCGGGGCTGCCCTGGGTCTCTAGATTTCGTAGTAAGTTTTGATGTGTTTCTCGATATTCATTGTATTGATTCTGTAGTTTTGGTTGGTTAGGGGTTTTGATTTTGTAATGAGGTTTGAGACCAGGACATTGATATTGTAAACAGTTGTTTTCACAATCAATCACCCTGCCACCGACCTATAAGCAGCTGGTTTAGGTACAATGTGAGTGGTCACTTGGATGGGTCCCTGTTTTTTGAAGCAAGAAGGCGCTCTCTCACTGTTCTAAGGCGATTCACTTGGCGAAGATTTGACAAAAAAAAGAACATGTTTCATTGTTTTGTTGTCACGTCAAGGTGGAGACACACATGGAAGATGGACATCGAGCACGTCGGCCAGGACGGTGAGTGCAGCGCGGCCTTTTTTCCCGTCACTCACTGGGCGTCCAGATGGGCGGAACCGGCACTGAGAATGGATTGGCCAGCAACCCATGACGAAAAAGTGAAAAAGAGACCGGAGGTCAGCAGGGTGAGATCAAATTTTCAAGAGAACGCAGCCCATGTGACGTGAAAACACATGATAAACAAATGCCAAAGCAGTTGGGCCTATCGCCTGCCAGGGCGTAGCAAATTTAATACAGATGATAGGGCCTATGGCTGGGCATTCCTTGTTTTGCCAACAGGTCTTGCAATTCTTTATGGCATTGGCATCCAGACAAGCTCAATGACATGTGCGCTACCTTCGTCGCAGGCATCGTGGTCACGGACGGCGGCTGCTCGGTGGTGGCCGATGCTCAAGGTGCCGCCAAGGCGGTGGAGGCAATGAAGGCGCACCTGGTGGACGTGGAGGTTTGCAAGATGGGTGCGGCTGTACTCTACGCGCCTTGGACGAGTCCAGCTGGAAGATCCAGCTTCACTCCCTATACCCTCCGACTCCGGAGTGTCCCTTGTTCAGGAGGTCGCCAGGTCGCCCCCCCTCCACCCTGAAGAAAGAAAGGATCAACAAGGTTGTCCAGAACATGGTTCATTGCACATCACCAGCTAAGGGCTTTCGGCCACCCTGTTCCGTCCATTTGCCTTGAACCAATTCGATGCCGTTGAATGGAGCCCGAAGCAAGGCCATGGTGCAGAAGACTGATCCGGCCTCGCCGGAGCGGTTGATGATGCGCACCACCAAGGCCCATCAAGTCTTGGTCGAGGCAACCGGGTTGGTACCGGGGGAGAGGGGGAATCCGAACAGGCTGCAGCGGAGCAAGCAAATCTAGGCAGTTATGTTGGTGATGATATGTGATAAGTATATATATATATATATGGTGCAGCCCAGCCCAAGAATCAGGAGCATCGAGTCCAGACATAAATCACTCACTGTTGGCACGGAACCCGAGAATGTCATAGAATGTCACTGTATAGGATCGCCCGAAAACGGTCTGTGTACAGTGTAGACTGGCGAAGTCCTAGTCAATTCAAATATACCTCCCATATACCATATATACCTCGCACAGCTATAAGAGTGCTAAGGCATTGGCTGCAGACCTGACAGGCATCCTCCCAACAAATGCCAATGCAGGCACTTCAGCACCACCCGACTGACAGAGTCCTGGACCGCGCGTGTCGCGTGACCATGCCTGAGCTCAAGGGCTGAGAGGGCCCTGCCGAGGGCGAAAAGCTCCGCTCGACGTGCCAGCGCCTTTCGCGCGTGACGGGAAAAACAGATGGTTCAGTGATGTTTGGTGGGACATCCAGGATCATCCACCGGCCATGGTAGATTTCAGTATTCCCTTTCAGGGTCAAGTCATGTCAAGTCACATCTTTGATGTACTTTTGAGCCACCCGAATCTTTGGGCACATCCGGAGAAACTGGGAACCAACAGCAAGATACTGTACAGATCTGTAATGATTGGTATAGCTTTTGAGGTGTGTGCTTCTCTTCGAGTAATCAAGGAGGATGTGGGGGCATCCATTAAGTGCTTCATCCAGGGTGTTCATCATTTTCATATCCTTTGGGTGGAAAATAGCCTGAATGGAGCATTTTGGTGCTATGGTTGTATATTCTGTTGCTTGGGCCAACTGGCAATATTGGGACTGATGTCCTGGACCTAGCATATCAATCCCCACATCTTTGTTTATCAATGATGACAACTCGGACTCACTAACATGGAAGTGGAGATTCTCTGTTGGTAGATCAAAGTAGCCTTCCAAAGGACCATTGCCCACTTCCATGTGATGTGTTCATCAGAGTTGTGAAAAGAACATCTATACGCCTATCGATGCTAGTAGGTTGGAGGCCATCGAGCTACTAGGTTGGAGGCCATGGCGCTCTTAGGTTGGAATCCATCGCCCTTATATATAGGCCCCTTTTGCTACTAGGAGCAAAGGGCATCGCTTCTAGGAGCAACGACGCTACGAACGGGGCTCCTGGCCTTAGGAGCAAGGACGCTCTTAGGTTCCTTTTGCTATGTTATTTTGGACAGACTTTATGTTTCATGCCTTGCTCGCACACAGCCGCAACGCCAGGAGCACCGCAAGAGCCACGCCCGCAGAGCCACAGCGGTCGGGGGCGCCGAGCCGGCTCTTGCGGTGTGCGGTTCGTTCGGACCGAAGGGGAGCAGACCTTCCGCCTTCCTATGGCAGCCTGACGGTGAATTGCAAATTGGGATGGCCCAGTGGAAGAATTGCGCAGACTCAAGATATTCTATGAAAATTATGAAATGGTTTTGCTGCGGAATGCTGTGGATCTGTTTATATACATCTTTTTAGCCTCCTTCTTCCCCACATGAAAAGAGACAAAAGTTGCAACATTCCCAGGCTGTGCACAATATATTCCAAAGATTCGCCAGGTACAATGTTGAATTGGGAAGTTTGTGGGTAGGCTTGGGAAGTTTGATTCAAGAAATTGCTCATCAGAAAGGTCTAAGTGTGTCTAGGACCACCTGTTTTCCATCCTTTTCCTCACGAGTCTGACTCCGCAGGTGACCGGCACCACGAGACACTCGAAGTGCATCGCCCGCAGCTCCTTTCAACTTCGAGCACAGCGTTTTCAGCCTGGTCGTCTTCCACCGGAAGCTCTCAGTGGACGTTTTTGCTATGGCTCGCTGCGCGTTGTCGGGACTTCTTTTGAGCTCATGTGGCTACCTCGCCCTGGCCCTGAACGATTGCCAGGACGGTACATGCAGCGCACATTTCATTCAGGCGTGGTGGACCATCTTCTTTGAAGACTCCACAGTTGCACCGTGCCTTTTTTCCTCCGTCGGCTAAGGACTCTCAAGCTTCACTTGACCATGCTTGTGACTACTTCGAGTCCAATCACCGGTTCGGTGGGCGAAGTTCCATTAGAAGATCTATTGCAGTCCTCATGAAGAAGAACATCCTAAAGAAAACTCAAATCATTCTGAAGGAAGGTGATGTGATGGGCGAATGTGAACTTACAGTTACACCCAAAAAGACGAGAATATTTGCTAGGGGTGTGAGATCATGGAGAGATCTTGAATGATCTCGTAACTACTTTCTCAAGAACTACATAAAAGATGGAACATGGACACAAACACCGTGTGTTTGTTGTTATTTTTTTTGGTGGGCCCCATCCTTCACAAAATTGAATTCTAATAAAACTCATCTACAGATAGCAAAACATGGCAACACAACATTTGGGCAAACCACCATGACACCACAACATATCAAACGTGTCTACAAACCCTAAACCCTAAACCTCCATCATGTTCATCCTCCTTCCAACAGATTGCCATGTCCCAACCCTCTCTTCACTCTGTGTGTGTTGAAAAGAAGCTCCAAAGCCCAGCACCCCAACCTCCCTCGCCCGCGCTGTCAGATGCAGAGCAGTGCCCTGAAGCAGACGCACCCCTGGCCTCATGCACGAGGCAGTCCTCCGCGCCAGTGCCTGGGCGTTCCGTGGGAGACCCCAAACTCCACAAGGTCGAGTGAGACCAACCTGCGTGAGACCAACCATGACAACACTAACACTCGCGAGTCAATAGGCCAAGTTCACTTCTTGGCACGGGGGAGTTGGAGTTCCACGGCATCCAAAAGCCATTAGTATCATGTGTATATATATATAGGCTATTGATCACGGGGTTGGGTACTGAGCCTTTGCAATGGAGGGGCCCAGAGTGTTTTTGAAGATAACATTACTGACATCATATGTTTTATAAATATATATTTATATTTACATACATTTTTGTTTGTTGTTTTGTGAGTTGAGTGCCTGCACAGAGGACCAGCATTATATCACGTGGTGAAATTGTTTGCATGACATCCAGTAGGGCACCTTTTAAGTCACCTGAGTGACAGACCCTGAGCATTCACAGAGCTAACTGCTGGCAATCAAACACTCCGAACCTCACGTGCAGACACGGTCAACGTTGAGAGAGCCTCTATTTGGTAGAGTTGTTTTTCTTAGTATTTTCTTGCCCTCCCTTGAAACGGAGCTCATCCCCACATTTAGATAATTTTGGACTCCGACTTGCGTCAACATGCGTCAACTGGCTACAACGTCACGTAGGGACAACGATCTTGCACATCATGTTCCCCAGCTGAATCAAACTTCCCTCAGACTGCCTTCGACTCAGACTGCCTGTCGTGGTTTGACGACTGAAAATGAGGTTCGGTACCACCCCAGAGGTGTGGACGAGTCACAAATTGAGTTGGAGCTTTCATGATCCAGCTGGAAAGCTCCTGGGACCGGATGGTTGGGCCGCAGCCGCTGCCGGGCGGCGGTTTTCTTGGGGTTGCGCACTGTTAACCACTGCGAGTGGTCGGCATGCGTCCTAAAATCAGCTTTTGTTGGCGGCTTTTTGATTCTAAGGTTCGACTGATTTACAACTGTGTACCACGACTGATGCAGGCATTTCCGAGCATCATGCTGGAATGTAGCTGCCGTGTCTCCAGGCAACCTTTAATGAAACCAGCCGTCGACAGGGTCAGGTCATGCAACTCTGGTTTGCAAGAACCTGGAGGATGTTCACCTGCCAAGGTGTTGGTTATTTTTGGTTCATCGAGTTGGTTTGGCGATGAGAGAGCGTCGATGAATCTCACAGGGCCAGGCGAAGCCGGGCTCACAGGTGATGATGAGTACTGGAACTTGAACAATCATATGGTGATGAAAAGCAATAACAGAGAAATACCAGGAGTGTGGAAGGGGTGCCTATTAGAGAGTAGGGGTGTTTTTTTTACTCACTCGTGGGACTAACGACATCTCAATACCACGGCCCTTTGGAACTGCGGCCCTTTGCGGCCATTGCGTTGGTTCCTTGCGACCGTGGTCCAGTCCCCCAGTGGGCCAAGGTACCACAACATCTTCGCTGGTGGCCCCGTCATCGACCAGGAGCGGAGAAGCGTTGGCCAAGCCAAGGCAGTGGCAGTTTTGGCACAAAAAACGCCCACCACCAGGACAAAGAAATAAGATCAGCAGAGCATTCATATGAAACATGACTATGTTCACCCTAGTGGAGAAAGCAAACTGACATTTCTACAATGATATAACGATTCAAAACTGATGAACATTGTAATTTTGGATCAGTAAAACGGGAAGGGGCGTTTTTGTTAGGGGCTTCAGGGAGAGTAAGGTGAAAAGCTTCATTTGGGGGTCGCGAAAAGTAGGCATTAACACACCCGTTTGGACCTTTAATCATCTCAAATTTCAATTTGGCAATAAATATGCTATGAATTCTATTGGGCGCATCGACATGAATGAAATCGTTTGAAAACTGAACGGCGAATAGAAACACCGTTTGAGGCAGAAAAAAGGGTGCTTTCCTCGTCCTCGTCCAATGTATTCGCGGACGTTCATTCTAAATATATACACCATTATACACCTATATGCCAATCCAGCTTGACATGGGTAACTCATTGATTCCTTGCCATGCAAGGAAACAAGAAACCCAGCGTCATATGTTCATTATGTTCCTGGCAGGTTTTTTGGATGACTAGCAAAACAATGCGAAACACAATGGACAGCAATTGCCACAGAAATCTGCCAAATCTCAAGGAAAAAGAAAGGACCCCATAGGACTCCCGCCTTTGTAGATTGTAGAGTGTGAAAGATTGCTTTTTGTGTATTTTTTGGTGCTTTGGCTGGCTCGGAAACACCATTTACAATGTTCTTCCAGGAGGGTGCTACATGGCCAGGCTTCTCATCCAAAGCAAAGTGTAACATTATCGAATGTTGTCGATATGACCCGTAACATGCTATTTGTGTATAAAACTTTAATTGTAAGGGCTTCGCCCGGGTGCCGCCGACCCCTTTTCAAGAGGAGTGTAGCATGTGTAACTGAAGGCGTTAGTGTCGTTCCGGTGGTTGCCCGTCTGCGGAAAGAAGATGGGTGTTCTAGCCTTAGGCGTGGCCTCGGACAGGCTAACTGTGGCCTGTGCTAAAGCCCACAAAGGTGGAGATGCCAATGCCAATAAGGTTGCATTCTGCGAGGCGCCGAGAAGCGTCTGAGGGGGGGCCGTCGCCTTCGGAAGCCTAGAAAAGAAGAGGCTGGCCTCGGCTGCTAGCACCGTACGTGGCAGCCCAGGCCATGCCAAGGCTGCGTGGCCTCGGACAGGCTAGCTGTGGCCTGTGCTAAAGCCCACAAAGGTGGAGATGCCAATGCCAAGGTTGCACCCTGCGAGGCGCCGAGAAACGTTTGAGGGGGGCCGTCGCTTCGGAAGCCTAGAAAAGAAGAGGGTGGCCTCGGCGGTTAGCATCGTATGTGGCAGTTCAGGCCATGCCAAGGCTGCGTGGCCTCGGACAGGCTAGCTGTGGCCTGCGCTAAAGCCCACAAAGGTGGAGATGCCAATGCCAAGGTTGTGCCCTGCGACCCCAGGATATACACCAACAACAGCAATCACAGCAGCAGCACTAAGAAGAAGACCCAGAAGCATCACAAGATCAGAAAAACCACTAGCAACAGGCAGCAAGAAGCATAGTAGCAATGCCTCTGTTCTGGCTGTGCTAATAGACTGGCGGCTGTTTGCGGGGGCCTTGTTGGACAGCCCAGGTGCTGAGCCAGCAAGGCTTGTGCTGCGGCGGTCCAAAATGCCTCACGTCGCCTTCGGAAGCCCATAAGAAGAGAGGAGGCAGGCTTCGGAC